CGGAAAAAATGGTTAGAACTTGCAAGGAGGGATGGTACCTATTCATTGTTTATCAATAAATACAAGAATAATTTTGTGATGAACATTTTAATGTAAGTATTTTGCATAACATAATCAATGAAATCAAAATGTTATACAAGCCGGATAAATTATATTGCATTATATTGATAAAACAATGACAATAGGTTGAGGTTAGGTAAGTTGATTTAATTTTATGGTATGATTTAGAGTCCATTTGAGAGTTCAGTATATTTATTCATAATAATATACACTTCTTATTCCTTTTCTAGTTGCCAAATGATATGCAGCGATTAATTATGTCGAGTAGTTATGCGATTAATTTTTTATTTTGGTTAAAATATTATTATTTGCTTCGGTAAATCCCAATTCCATGGATTTATTAGGCTTCCTTTCAATACTTATCTGAAAACAAACTGATAAATTGTATCAAAGTAACAATAACATGAATGAGATATCAATCAATGAAATGTATGGAAACGGTTACCACAAATAATGTTTTGCACGTGGTGACGTCAGTTTTTCTGATTGGTGTTTGCCGTCACGTGATCTAATGCCTATTTTATTCGAATTTATTTTCTAAAAATAATAATAAATAATGGCCGAGTCTCCCGCCACGCCTACATCAATGACGTCATCCGCAGAGCTCTTGTCGCTGTCAACGTACCAGCGGTCCTTGAGCCTAATGGCATCTTCCGCGACGATGGCAAGAGTCCTGATGGGATGACGCTCATACCTTGGAAGCAGGGTCGTTCTCTTGTATGGGATGCAACCTGCGTGGATACGCTTGCTCCGTGCCATACAGGTAGTACCTCCCTAGCTGCAGGCGCAGCGGCGGCCTCTGCCGAGTGCTCCAAGCGGCGCAAATATTCAGCTCTTATTGAGAACTACATATTTGTGCCGTTTGGTGTTGAGACTATGGGCCCATGGGGTCCAAGCGCTCGTTCCCTTTTTAAGGAATTGTCAAAGAGGCTCACCGAAGTGACTGGTGATCAAAAGGCTGGCAGCTATCTTGGTCAACGGATCAGCCTTGCCATCCAACGCGGCAATGCTGCCAGCCTTTTGGGCACCATTTCTGATGGCGGCGCTGGGGGTGATATGTTTTTTATTTTGTAAATTATTTATTTATGTAGGTAAGTAGGTTAAGCTATGTAGTTTTTAAGTTTGTGTTATTTTAATGTATTATCTTCGTATAAATAAATAAATTAGGAACAATAATAATCTTTAATTATTATGATAAATAGCTTTATTTTTTGTTATCTGTATATCATAATTCATATTTAGAAACTGTAACCCATTCGATTTATTGTTAGTTGACACAAGCCTATTGTTAACAATAATTACAGAGAATACTAACGACCTGTTAGATGAACTTTTAAGAATTGAAAACATATTAGCTGTCACTAGAACTACAACCACCCATCATTCCATGGTCAGTGTAAAGGTCCTTAAATCTATGTTAGATAAGTTAGGTATAATTTACGGGAAACATAAGTTAGTCGATTCAGAGCTTAGAAACTACTTTACTATTATACGATCAGGGTCATATTTTGTAAATAAGCAAATAATTATAGTTTTTAAAGTACCCATAGTCTTCTCGGTACAAGGTCTCCCGCCGTAGATTTACGAACCGATGGCGTAGCGTTTGACTTTCACAAGAGCTTGTAACAGCTTAGACTGAATAAATGAGTTTGAGTTTGAGTTTGAACGGATAGAATACATATACAGTACATATATAAGTATATTTATATAAAAATACATATGAAACATCCATGACTGGAGTGCAAATGCTCGTATTCATCACACAAACATCCGGGATTCGAACCCGGGACCTCTCGAGTCGGCGACACCATGAAACCCGGCGTACAAACCACTCGACCACGGGGGTCGTCAAAATAGTCGTCGTCAATATAAACAGATTTGGGGAACGAGTCGCCCTCGTCCGTGGGTGTAAACCCCGTATATTTTTTCCTGTTACCCCACACCTCATCGCCCCACGTCCCTGGGTGGTGCAAATCAGGCGACAACCCACTGGTGGAAGGCTATAGCCGAGGCTAGTGACCACCCACCGGACTAAGTCGCGCCGCCAAACAGCCTATCTGTGTTCCGGTGAAGCCGTTTGGGAAGATCGGATCGCTTCAGTACTGCAGTGCCGTTTTCTTAACGTACGCATCATTGTTGCAACGGGTAACTGGTCTCGGAGGGTAGCGGGATCCGAGGCACGGTGTACCGTGGCCGACCGCAGTTAGTAGGGGGCCCAAGTAATGGGTTAGCCACTCATGAAAAGCTGCCCCGCCAACTCGCGAAAAATCCCAGGATGCGCCATCGTGCCGGTTGGCGACCGGACGAAGCCAAATCGTCATTCTACTTCCGTTTTCCCACCAAACAAATGCTCACGCTATGAAAAAAAGAAAAAGAAAAAAGGTCAACAAAGGTACCCTACAGCCCAATTAGTGTACCTGGGGGATTTTAATGCACACCATCAGGAGTGGCTATTCCCATACCGGGTCACTGTCCATGCCGGAAGAGAGTCGCGAAAGCTCGCTTTAGCGTTGAATCTCACCCAGCTAGTCCGAGGAGCTACACGGGTACCTGACACTGACTCTCAAACACCTAATTGCTTGGACCTTTTGCTGACAACAGATCCAGACCGATACTCAGTGTCGGTTTCTTCGCCCCTATCCACCCGATCCCAGCCCTAGAGGCACCCGCAGAATGTGGCGATACAATTCAGCTGATGGCGATGGAATGCGGTCGATTTTTGCGTCTTATCTTTGGCAATCTGTATGCTTCACCACTGGCGACCCATCAATTTGCGCGGATGCCGTGACTGATGTACTCACACTGGGTATGGAGTACTTTAGCCCGTACTTGGATTTACCTCTGTCCGGCAAAGCTCGCCCCTGGTTTGAACTTCAGTGTGCTCGTGCAGAAGCGCAAAAACATGAGGCTTATCTGGCCTGGGCCGATGCTCGACACCGCAAAGCAAATGATTTACGCCAAAAAAACAAGCGTATAACAGGTCTGCCAAGTCCTGCAAGAAAGTGTTACAGAAGGCTCGCACCGTATCCGACAGGTAATAAAGCGTTCTGATTCCTGGCAAAATCGGTCGAGGCGTACTTCTGCCGTCCCTCACTGCCTCCACTGCAAAAGCCTGATGGGACTCTGGCTCACACTGCTGAAAAAAAGCAAATCTTTTTGTCTCTCAATTCGCGGAAGCCTCGAGTTTTGATGCTGGTAGCGCGGTACTTCCCACATTATTTGGCTGCTCGACAGCGATGTAGAACTCCGCAACTCTTTTTTTGCTTCATATCAACGATCTGCTTAAACCTGGTACCTTTGGGTATGCAGACGATAGCTCAGTCGTAGAGAGCTATATATCAAATGCGCGTGCCAGTACGGCTGAAGTTCAATCACTCCGAGGCCATGATCAACCGCTTAAACTTGTCCCTTCAGGCAGTCTCCGATTGGGGCGATGACAATTTGGTCAAGTTTAATGCTTCTAAAACTCAGGCGTGTCTGTTCTCCGCTAAAAAGAGGGTGTTTCAACTGGCCCCTTCTTTCCGAGGTGTAACCGTGCCGGTAACCGAAGAGCTTGAGCTTCTAGGAATAACGCTCACCTCAACTCTCAACTTCGGTACCTACATTGAGTCCAGAGCTCAACTGGCTGGTAAAAAGCTTGGCGTCCTCGCAAAGGTGCGGAAGTACGTTACACCGGAACAGCTGCTCACCTTGTACCCAGCGCAAGTTCGCTCGTGCATGGAGTACTGTTCGCACCTTTGGGATGGTTCTGCAAAATATCAGCTGGAGTCTCTGGAGTGCATTGAGAGGCGTGTAAAGAAGCCCATCGGCAACGATAAATTTTTGAGACTAAACTCCAAAGTCTTGCACACAAGCAAAAAGTTGCCTCTTTATCGGTTTTTTACCGGTTATTTTCGCGTACAATATCGTTAATACTGTATTTTAAACTAGCGACTGCCGCGATTAGGTGATATTGTTTGTAGCCTATATGTTGACCCGACTTCTTAATAATGTTCGTACCAAATTTCAAGTAAATCCATGCAGTTCTTTTTGAGTTTATCCCGGACATACATACAGACAAACAGACAAAAAATCCAAAAACTGTATTTTTGGCTCTGGTGTCGATTGTAGATCACACCCCAAGTATCCTTTTAATAAAATATTCAATGTACAGTTTTGACTCTCCTACCATTTTATTATATGTATAGATTGTTAGCACCCACCAATCTGCACTGGGCCCACGTGGTGGGTCATGGCCCAATCTCCCTATTCCATTCATAGGGAAGGCCTGTGCCCCAGCAGTGGGGACATTAATAGGCTGATGATGATGATGACGATAGATCACGGGTGGTAATCCTATACATAACCTCTGCAATGCATACTTACACCGATCATACTTTATCAGGCGTCTCGTTGTTAGACACTTTTTCGTCTAAATAATTCAGGCAAACGATAATTGCCAGGAAATTTGAAACTATTAAGTGATTATTACTATGCTTCTACGTAATAATACCGTAACCCGGAAACAAAGTTTAAAAATTATTTAACTCACTAAAGTTTTAAATTAAAAAGCTTTTACGTTAAATTTCCTTGTTCAGGCAGGGTTGAGCTATATTTTATAAAAGTATTACTCTAAGAAAAGAAAAAATTGTAATATATACTGATTACATTTTTTAATAACATTGAAGGCAAACGTAAATGATATATAAACATTTATAATTTAAGACGAAAGTTTAAAAGTACCTATTTTATATACATACATAATTTAAACATACATATTTAATAGGAAATTATATCAGCAACAAAATACGTTTTTTTAGTTTGATAAACAAGTTCAGATACACTTAAGTCTATTTGTTGCGCCATTATTTACAAAACTGATTCACAAATTCAGCCAAAATCAATAGCAGGGTATTATATAACAAACACCGACTGAAATCCGGGCTATTACAATATTCAGCTCCTACTAATCTGGTGAATTCACGGCGCGATTGGATAGTTCAATTTAATTGTGGATGAGTTAGTGGTTCCAGAATAATTGATCGGCGGTAAAGTTGAAAATATAATTGGATTGGAACGAGCCACTGGTCCATTGGACTTCGGCATTTAGACTGAGCTAGTTTCCGGCTTCGGATATTGTCGTAATTTTTTTCACAATTTTCCCTTTGGGCCAGATCTCAGTGCAGTGGAAAGAAAAAAGTTTCAAAAAATTTTACTGGCTAGAAAAAATCAGAATTTATAATCTTCTCTACCACTGGGTGTGAATGCTTATGGATTGTAATAATGACATTATTGATAAAAAATAGACCGACAAATGGACAAACAAAAACGTTTTTAAGCATATAAACTAATCTGAATCAAAATACTTGATTAACTTGACTATTTCTGTAAGAGTACGGTCTACAATGGACGCGAAAAAGTCGCTAAAGGAATGTCATCCACAAAAGTACTACCTCACATTTCTGTTCAGAGTCATCTATTACTTGGGAATGGGCGATTGTTGGTACGAGAAGACAGAACGCAGCAGGACCCACAAAATCTTGTACGGCATTTGGGCGTTCATTTATAACAGCTACCTAATTCTTAATACTATCAACCAGGTTACTGCTAACTTCAGATCAGATTTGACTGTTAAAGAGAAAAATGATATGATCCAATTTACTTTTGCACATCCATGCTTCTGCGTCAAATACATGATTTTGATATTTCAAAAAGAGCGCGTGCGAAATTTATTTAAACGTATGATGGAGGGTAACAGATCTATTTACTCTTCTATAGATTTAGATAAAGAGAGTGTTAGAAAGGCTATTATTTATTCTATCTGTTTGGCTGTCATCACATTATGGACCCTCTTGTTTGCCCTTATGGACGGGATATTTACTTATATCTCAGAAGGTAAGATATTGCCAAGTTATCTATTGAAGAAAAATACAATTTACTTTACTTATATCTAAAGAAAAATTATAAACATATTAATATTTTGGTGTCAGTGTCATGCCAAACCAAATAGTAAATAGAAACTCAGACCTATCAGACATGCATGGCACCGAGTCGAATTTTTTTTTTATTGAATATACTTTAGAAATACCTACTTACATTATTAAATAATGAAATTTTAGTATATTTATTGTGAGAGAGTCTGTGAATAGTACATTTCGTTTCGTTGCAGGCATTCCGATACGAACAGAAGTGGTTCTGTACCCGACCAGACACAATTCTGGCTTTTTCGTCAATATACTCCGCTTCTTGGTGGAACTTCACTGGTGGTGCATCATCACCAACATGCTCGTGGCCGACTGTCTTTGTGTTTCTACATTGATATTCTCGGGCTATAAATTCAAAATAGTCACGATGTACTTCAATAATTTGAGGAAGAAAACCCGAAATAAGATTGGGACTAAAAGCAGGTTGGCTTTGAGAGACGATTTTGAAAAAGATTTCAAGCTCGGAATCCAGTTACATGAAGAGGCTTTGTGGTAAGTTAAGTAAGCAGTTTGATTTACAATACAATACAAATCACTTTATTGTACACCACAGAAAACATTACAATAAATAGAGAGCCATTTAAATCAAATGTTACAATGGGCGGCTTACAACCTACTCACTACTCTAGTCCAGCCGGTAGAAATTACAAAAGCGATTATAAAACAAAAATACAAAGACAAATAGTGGGACTTCAGGGATTCTTAAAAATGTGAATCGATTCCGCACGTCGTATCGAAACTGGGAGAGAATTCCACAGCTGAACGGCTTGAACTGCAAATGAGTGACTGTACAAATATTTGCTGATGACCTAAGAGATAACATGTTATAAGTGTGAAGGAAATTAAAACATTCCTTAAGATAGCGCGGGGACTTAGGATTGAACAATATCTTGTAGGGAAGAGTAAGAATATGAGTATTTCGGCGAAGGCGAATAGGTAGCCTTGACTTGAGCTGCGAACGAAATTGAGAAACGTGATCATATCGTGGTGAGAAAGGAATATATTAAATTGGTTATGGACAAGGCGTTCAAGGACCTTAGATAGGAAAGGAAGAATAAAGATGGGACGAAAATCGGCGACGGATTGAGGGTTCGATTATGTAGAAAATTTTTGTGAAATTGTTTTGTTTGCAGAATACGTCTAGAGGCACTCGCCAATTCTCGGCTTGAGGTCCCCTAAAGATCTCGCCGTCCCCAAACCCGGTGACGCTGTAAAGGTCATCTGCGACCAACAGCATACACACTGAAAAAAACCTGGTCAGTGCTGCGTAAGCTGCCTGAGTCGCGAAGATAGCTGATGCGCTAGAAAAGGATGTCGCTAGATGCCCTTATTAATGCAGCGCACACTAATCGAAATCGCTATGCAATCGCCTCGTCTCGGGATAAGCTCCCGTACGGGCGAAGTCAAGTGTCCGTACACTAGCTTATCTATTCGTTCATGCCCCTGCCGCAGCCTGCATTGCCGAAGGTGCTATCTTAGCTTAGATGACGGCATTAACTAACCTCTTAAAACCAAGTGGTTACTTTCCCTATGACTGATCAAACTGGTGCTGCCTAGCCGTCAACCAGTGGTTGGCGAGCCGTAAGCGCGGCGTGGCCTAGTCGTAGCCGACCCGATCGTACTGGAAGTTGCTTACCCGTTTACGTTACATATTTACGTAAGTCGGACGCCTGTTTGACGGCAATCCGAAAAGCGAGCCGGTATCCCTTTTCGAATAGATATTATGAGCTATGACGCTTACTCACCATCAGAAACACAACACCGCCAGTAGTGTCATTTTACTGTGTTTCGAAAGATGGAGGTTACTTTCCCACACCGGTTCTCCAATTCGATCGCTGTCTTACTTCTCTTAATTGATTCTGCATTACAGGTGTGCTGGGTACGTACAATATGCCATCGGGAATCTTTACAGCGTCCAAGTCTTCGAGACTATCACTTTGCTGGTCATGTGCCTCGTCAAGCTTGTGGTGAGTACCTATTCAATATTTATGAATATAAAGTTGAGAAACAGATTACTGTCACGTACAATTTTGCTAGAGTACACGAAGTATTGCTGAGGAGCTAGATGGCGAAGGTGGTTAGCGCGTTCGGCTGCGATCGTTGAAGCAACTTTGACCAACGTGACCAAAAGTCTTTTATCTCGAATAACTCCGTGCTTCGGAAGGCACGTTAAGCCGTTGGTCCAAGATGCATCGGCAGTCGTTAGCACCCGTCAATTACTAGGCCTGCGTAGTGGGTCATGGCCCAATCTACCCATTCCATCCATATCCATCATAAAGGGAATGCCTGTGCCCCAGCAGTGGGGAGATTAATAGGCTGATGATGATGAGAACACGAAGTATTCCTATTAAATAAGCTTTAAATTCTTATTTTGTTTCAGACAAACGAGAGGAACTTGACATTCCTTATAGCAGTCCTGACGTACATCTGCTGCTTGTTCGCGATGACCTTAGCTTATTTCAGTGCCGCTGGTGACGTCACATACCACGTAAATAAATAATGACTTTTAATGTAAATAGGGTGACGTATGGCATCTGCAGTTCAAGCGTTAGTTGTGTTTTATAGAATCCATCAGGAACCTAACATAATATTTTTGGGAACAAAAGTATTCTATGTCTCAAATCAGATAATTAACTAAATTTGTGCCTTCCAAACCCGTTCAGCCGTTTTGCGGGATTGAGTAACTACCTTAACGTCAAAAATTCTTTATTCAAACAGGATACACAATACAACCCTTTTTAATCGTTAATTTTTGTACACTGTACTTTAACATTCTAGCCTACTAATATTATAAAAGTGAAGGGTTGTAGGTATGTTTGTGTTTAATGCTCACGACTCACTATGCGTATCCTTCTTCATCATGCAAATTGCCATGATGGGTTGGTCCGTTCAAGTCGGACACTCACTGGTGAGGTCGCGGAAGTATCCGAAAGGGTTCCCGTGGCCACACTCGGTGCCGTTTGCTCGCTGGGCGGGGTGCCGCCAGATGGTGGATCATTCTCCCGGGGAATACATGACCCGTCGGTGAGGTGAGGGACATCGCCCACCCGCTCAGCCAGCCTTCGGACATGGCCCGTCGGTGGGCAAGAGGAGGAGTGGAGGAGTCCCACATAACCTCGCCTCACTCCCAAGGCGGACGTAAAAAAAAGGGAACAACAATATAGGGAACAATAATATATACTGTGGAATTCCTTGCCTGAGCCCTTGTTCCCCGAGCACTACAATCTAGCGGTCTTCAAAGCAAGAGTGAACCGGTTTTTTTTATTAGGTAAGCGCGCTCCATCGTAGACCATAATATTGCTTTCCATCAGGCGAATTATGGTCAAGCGCTTACCTATTACCGAATAAAAAAAAAAAAATATAATGATTTTCAAGGCAATTGTGAATAGGCATTATTTGAGTTTTCGAGCTTAGATTGCATCGTTGGTTAATATCAGGTGCGATATTTGTCCATATCACTCTAATTTATTATAAAAAAAAAATGTGTGTGTCATCTCCGACGCACGAGTGGAGTTTACTCCTTAAGTTCGATAGTCTAACCAGACGCAAAAAGAGTTTATTTAACTTAAAAAAGATTGATACTGTATGAAAGGGTAAATTAACAAATTAATGAAAATAATATACATATATAAATATTTATTTATTCATTTCATATACATTTATTATAACTAATCGACGAAATATTTTACATTACACTTTTCACAATAGTCAATTTCAGATGTGCATAAATATATCATTAGGAATGTTGATAAATTATGTAATTATTATTATCAGACTATTATCATTTTTTTAAATATTAATTGAATCAACATTGTCTGCATTATTAATTACAGTGACAAGTGGTTTATGGTAACTAAAATAAGACACATGGACGTTCGTAGATACGTGGTTCACGAATCTTGAAAATACCGCATCAATGGTTGTACCATACCTCGTTGTCCCTATTGCTCTATCAGAAACAATATCTAAATTCAGTTCAAATTTTTAAATTTTTATTAATGTCAATCCGTCATCTTTGTTTGTCAAAGTTGCGCGACATAGGATGCGCACCAAAAACGTAAAAAGGTCATTCATCGATAGATTTTACTCCCCACATTTTTCTCATACCCTTATATATGCAAATCGATTCTTAAGGAGTAAACTCCAAAAATGTTTGTTACACAATCATGCAAAATCTATTAAACGGATTCTGATGAAATTTGGTATGTGTATAGTTTATGAACTGGATTGAATCATAGTGTACTTTTTATCCAGGAAAAACTTTAGGTTCCTGTGGGATTCTCAAATAGCTCAAGTTAATGCAGACTAAGTCGCGGGCGGCCGCTAGTTATATAATATTAGGTTGGGAAAAAAGTTTCTTCGCTTTTTATATGAAAATACAAAACCTTTTTAATAATGTTTATTTATATTTATGTAAAGTATGTATACATATACATATTGACAGGTGACATATTGTTCCATAACTTTAGTCATCTAATAGGTAGACATGATCCCATTGTATATAGAAATTAATAAATAAATATTTTCAACACTCACGCTCACACCAATTAGCCTAGCCCCAAAGTAAGCACAGTAAGGCTTGTGTTATGGGATGCTAGGGTAACGGATAGAACACATATACTGTACATATATAAGTATATTTATATAGAAATACATATTAAACATCCATGACTGGAGTACAAATGCTCGTATTCCTCACACAAATATCTGCCCCCACCGGGATTCGAACCCAGAACCTCTCAAGTCGGCAATACCATGAAACCAGGCGTTTAAACCACTCGGTCACGGAGGAGGTCAATTTTGTGACTTCTGGTTAAAACACCGCGACTTGTGGTTTTGGCAATCCTCTCGTGATGTTAACCTGACACTGCCTAAAGAATTCTGAAGAGACTGAAACAGGTGTAAACCTGAAGGTGCAAGGTCAGAACTATACGGAAGATGCATAAACACCTCCCAGTCAAACTCTTATATTTTTTGCTGAGTGGCTGATGTGTGAGGTCTAGCGTTATCATGATGAAAAACTACAACCCTTCTGTTGATGAATTTCGGCCGCTTTCTCTAAACTTCATGATTAAATCTTATCAGTTATTCACAGCACAGTTCAGAATCTCTATTCCTGCCTGGCGGTAACAGGTCATAATGAATAATGCCTTTCCAATTCCACCATACACACACATCACCTTGTTGCGAATTAACCCGGGTTTCGCCAGAGTCTGTGAGGCCTGATTGGCCTTTGACCACGACCTTTTTCGCATGTTTTTGTCGTACGTGATCCACTTTTCATCGCCATTTATTAGAATAGCTTCTTCAAAAATGATTCGGTTTCATTACGTCGTAATAAAGAATCAAAAATGAGTACACGGTTTATTAGGTTTCTTCCAGTGAGCTCGTGTGGCACCCAAATATCGAGCTTTTTAGTGTACTCATCTTTTTTTAAATGCGCCAAAACAGTGGAAAATTCCTAGTTCTTCAGCTACGTCGTAACTACCGATACGCAGATCTTGCTCCACTTTTTGAAAAATGGCATCAAGTTTATCCGTTATACGGCGACTAGAGTAATCTTTTACACCCAAAATTGCCGGATTGAAAACGCTTAAACGAACGCTTTCTCCCACAGACAACTAAGAACTGAACTAAGAATCCTATTATGACGATGAAGAAAGTGATGATGATGAAGATTTATTAATTAATTTAAAGACTTATTATAATAAAAAATATTTTACCCATAACTTTTATTTTCATATCATTTAATTTGCGTGAATAATATACCGTAAGTTTTCATACTACGACTCTTACTCGCATCTTTCTCCTCGCCTGGCAAGAACTTGTGCTAGCCAGAACCGCCTGGCATTCTACCTACTTACTTTAAATCGTTGAAACAAACACATATATAAATTTCAACTTTACAAAATAAAGTTTATATTTATGTATATATTACAAACCTTCCGGTTCACCTGGCGGGTACTTGTGCTCATGGTAAACACCTGGCATTTTTTTTAAACTTAAAAATGAATAAACTTAATTGTATAAAAATTTCAAGCTTACAGAAACAACTATTTTTTTAATATTTTATGACACTTTCAAAAATATATGGCTTGATGACGTGCAGGGTTGAGGAGTGCCAGGCGATGCTTACCGCAATAAGCATGCTATACTCATCATCATAAGAATTTCGAGCCTTACAGACAGACCGTTACCCGAAGAGTTCAGTAGCTATTGGTCAATCATTAGTTTCACTCATCTTGACAGTAAGAAAAACAAATGAAAATCCAACATTTTTCTAATTTGAATTTGGAATTATCTTCTTTAATTTTTTTTTGGAGATTTTATTCAATTTTATACGTATAAGTTCATACATAATGTAATGCGAAAAGTATTTTCCCCCAACCTATTATTAAATAGTAAAAACACAATGCCGCGAAATCGTACCGTTATTTTACAGTGGTCCTCTGAAGGGTGGAGGATACTTGATGAGCAGGCGCTCTGATTCGAGAGAGAACAAGATTAGGCGCGATCCATAAGGTACATCCATACAGAAAGGCTAAGAAGAATGTGAAATTGTAGGTAACGCGCAGAATGTGAAATTGTAGGTAAAGCGCAAAAGCAAAACTCACGGCGCGATTTGCACCTTCTGCGGGCGCGGATTACCCAGACGGGTTTCGCCCGATCTCGCAGCCGCGGCAGCTGCCGGACCGCAGAAAGTTGTGGTTTCGTGAGTTTTGAAATTAAACAGTTTGCGGCCGCCCAGCAGGATTGAATTCGATATTGGCTCGGGCTAAAAGTACAGTACCCCTAGCACGAACCAATATCGAATTCGTAACGTTTGCGAGTCCGAAATGTCATTGTCAAATGTGTACTGATTTTTAGTTCTCGTTAGGTACTTTGTGGCGCTGCTGTTCAAGTTTCCATACAAAATTTGACATTAACATTTAGCACTCGTAAACTATTCAAATTCGATAATGTTTCATGCTAGGGGTACTGAAGTGTGCGTGTGTGAGAGTTCTTTATACGAGTATAGTTGAGTCGGAGCATATTTTATTTCTTGCTAGTATGAGCGTATCGTATCTTCCCTTTTTGTTTTAATCAAAGCTGATGAATGACGATTAAATATACCACTCAATATTCACCAGGCGTCGACAGTGAGCACGTCGATGTTCCACTGCGGCTGGGAGTTTGTGGCCGGGAGTAAGTCGCTGCGGACGATGGCGGTGGTGGCGATACAGCGAAGCCAAGTGCCGGTCTACATGACTGCCTTCGGGGTCATGCTGCTGTCCTACTCCAACTTCATATCGGTTAGTATACTCTGTTCAAGTACCTTTAAACCAAAAGCTATATATACAAATAAACCAATGTTTCCAACACTTTTTTATCAAGAGTAAACATGGCCGGTGTAACCAGACTGATTACAAATTTCACATTTCAATGTAAAATTATTTGTATTAGTTGAAGCGCCTGTCTGTGGAATTAACCTCCTCCTTACATAAAGTTCACAGTAAAATTATCATCATCAGCCTATTGATGTCCCCACTGCCGGAGAACAGGCCTTCCCTATCGGTTGGAATAGGGAAATTGGGCCATGAGCCGCCACGCGGGCGCAGTGCGGATTGGCGGTAGCTAACGACTGCAGATGCAGCCGGGACCAAAGGCTTAAAGGCACAAGATCTCCCACCGTAGATAATTGCGAACCGTTGGCATGTGATTTGTAGACATTCGTGAGTGCCTGTAGTAGCCTAAGCTAAATAAACAATTTGAACTTGAATTAAACTAAATAACCTTCCTTCTTCTTATTTATCTATATTCTGACTCTGATTGTGTTATAGTATAAATAACTGCACTGATGCATTTCCAAATTTTTTTTCTTGACATTTCTTTAAATGTAATTTCAATTTCATTTATTTATTCGTTTATATTCTTAGCCCCATGTAAGCCTATAACTACAATTACAAGCAGTCACACTGAAGCACTTGAACGATGTAGTGCCCGGGGTGCGGCGCCCGCCATCTCGTTTTAGCATTGTAGCTGAATGGACACACACACATGCATGCACGCACGCACGCATGCAAGCACGCACGCACGCACGCACGAACGCACGCACGCACGCACGCACGCACGCACGCACACACGCACACACACATGCACACACACTGTCACGTTCCAACGGTGTATAAATGAAACCAGACCCTTGGTGTGAACAACAAATTTATTTGGGCTTGGTTCGAAGTGCCCGGGTAAAAAACCATTACAGTATTTGAAGTTCTTTGCTTTCCCGGCCAGGGTTGGTACTCTCCTGGTAGTTCCGCCGAAGAGAAGTCCGGGCCCAGAGAAGATGGAGATGGTCACGAAGCGGTGGTCGTACTGGTCGACAGTGAAGTCCCGAAAAGAAGTCGGAAGTCGTCGCCAGGTGATGGGGTGACCGTGACGGGATGGATTGCTGGTCGTTGTCACACTATGGTGTACGGTGGACGCCACACCATGGACCCTGTAATATGGTCGCATTAGTAACCAAACTCCGTTGTCTCCTCTGATTGTGGCCATGGCAAGAACTGGAGCAGCGCGATTTCATTGCCCGATGTTAAATCAATTTTGTGTTTATAAACAATAGGTATTCAAAAAACTGTTTCGTGTAAATAATGTACAATTTAAGTTAATAATATTAAGCGTAATTTAATCTTTAAGTAGAATAATATAAGTTTAACACACACACACACACACACACACACACACACACACACACACACACACACACACACACACGCACACGCACGCTTCATATAGTTATCATGTGACAAATTCTTGAAAACCTTTTTGTATGAGTATTGAGTGTTTGTTTTTCTTTTGTTATCATTTTGTGGTCTTGTCCATTTTTTTAAATTAAATATAATAAGTACTGCTATATATTAACGCCGTTGATATCTAATGAGTTTCTGTAATTGGCCTTTAAATTGTAATTATATTTAGTGTATAAAATCCACAAAAGCCGCTGCAGAAACTTTGTTAAAGATAAATAAATAAGTCATATCATAGTTACATTTGCGAATATGTATCATACCGATATTTTCATTTCTAATAATCAATTTTTTTGCCTTTTGCAGGTGATACGTTCTTCATACTCATTCTTCGCTGTAATGTATTAGCAGCTGTCACCACTATTAATCATAATGTTAATAAGTAATGTTATTAATTTTAATATGGAAATAAATCAATCAAATATAGCATGATGTAAAAAATTGTTTAATCTCTTCGCGATCGCAGCTTGTGGGCTTTTAGTGGCCGCCACTAGTTAGTGGCTTAATGTGCGCTTGCTCTTATGCGCTTACCACACGCACAAGCTTCACCACAGTTTGCAGGCCAAACTGGCAAGGCAAGCATCTCGCACGAAAAAACTGTACATTTTGTGCGTTACCACACGGCACAGTTAAGTACGCGCAAGCCTCATTCTTATCGAAATCATTGGCGTGGAAACAATGTTTCCTAATAAAGAAACATTTCTTAAGCCCCTATATTTCAAGTGTTTACTTGCTATTAAAAAAAAAGACAACGCAAAAGTCAAAATTAAAGCGATCAAAGTGGACAAAAAAATGGCTGTTGAATAGAAAAATTGATACACATATTAATCTAATAAAGGATTTAAGAGATGATTCAAACGATTTTCGTAATTATATACGGATGGATGAAAATGCTTATGGTGAATCGTTACGTTTAATTTTCCAGAGTGCAGGCAGAGATTTGTATAAACTAATTAATTCAGACGTGAATTCGCGATTGTACGTACGCAAATCTGCCATTTTTGAGTGACGATGACGAACGACCTCATGAAACGACGAGCGAGCCTCGACACAAAGTACACTCGACTGTGGCTTGAACACTGAACGCCCAACCACACGCACAGACAAGTACGCGCCGACCGGTCTTGCGCAGGCAAAATTTCAAGCAAGTCGAAAAGTGCGCAGGCCGCAGGCAGGTTGGCGCGTGATACAGTTTTACCAACTACACGCACCGTGTTCCGTGTACAAACCGGCCTGCGCAGGCAAAACTGTGGTGAAGCTCGTACGTGTGGTAAGCACATTAGAGCATAAATTACTGCACTAAAAAGTCAAATATAAACAAAATATACTCTCTGTTTACTTCATTAGGGCTTTAGAGTAAGCCATGTTTATAGTTGATTTTAAGATATATGTATAAAGGTATAACTGAAAAAGCGTGGGGCGCTTTTTGAAGTGAAAAAGAAAAAAATTGTGCCCTTGACCTTCAATATCTCCATAACCATAAATTTCATCATGACGATCATTTTTTTCATCTGGATGGTCCAGAAGAAAAAAATAATCGTCATGATGTGGAAAATACGTGGCCTTCGACTTCGTTAAAGATTTTTTTACACCCTGTATATTAAGACGAATGTAATGAGCCTAAACTCGATTTGTTTACTAGTAGGCAGTCCCGGGTTCATCAGCAACCTTCCAGTCCATCATCAGGTCCTTGTCATCAAGAGAAATGAACAAAATGTGTTAAGACAAACCTAATGAGCCCAAACTCGATATGTTTACTGTAGGCAGTCCAGGGTCCATCAGCCACCTTCCAGTCCATCATCAGGTCGTCCACATCAGGAGAAATGAACAGAATGTGTCAAGACAAATCTAATGAGCTCAATCTCGATATATTTACTAGTAGGCAGTCCAAGGTTCCATCAGCCACCTTTCAGTCCCATCATCAGATCAGCTCGGTGGTACCATAATATTGTATTGTCATCTAATCTACATATATTTTCCAAGTTTAAAGTAAATCTGATCGCTTAAAGTTGAGCAAAATCGAGTCCAAACGAGTCAGCTACATACATACAAACATACAGGTGAAACTAATAAAAGCGTGTTAAACCATGATTTAAGTAATGCTTACTTATGTTTAAAAATATGATGCAATACTTTCTTGGCAAACTGTAAAGTATACGGAAATTACGGAACAAAAATTTCAATCTGAAATGCATAAGCAATACCTTTGACGTTAAAAACTTAAAACATTCACTAAGTTGAAGTATTCTGTCCAGCATTTGGCGCGCGTCACGATGGGTTATTCCCATCTGGTCATCTGTGTCAAACTTACATGTTCTAATCTAATATCGTCATCAACCTATAAATGTCCCCACTGAAAGAAAGAAAGAAAGAAAGAAAAACATTTTATTGGCACATGAAATAGGTGAAACAGAACGGTACATGAAATAAAACATAGACAATAAAAAAAGAAAGAGAACTAAATACTAGGTCGTAGTGCGTGCCGTGCGAAGCCAACAGGTCACTGGCTCAGCTATGCTCTGTGGCAGTCGCTTTCGCGATACTACAGTAGCACTGATTTTCAGCCAGCGCCTTATGGTAAGGGTGATTTGCGAAAGACGGAACAAGCAAAACCATCACTTATGTAACTAATTCTAGACAAATAATTCTATTTCTACTTATAACTGCTACACTATACTATAACGCCGGCCCTCCACACAGCCACCCGTAAACCGAACGACAGTCCCTGCCTATCACTCGCCATAACTACTGATATCTTAGTCTTAGTCTTAATAGAACGGCGGGCTGTTTCCGCAACTCGACATCTAGTGCCTATTTTGCGTGGGGATTGGCATCAGTCCTGCCATCCCAGCTCCTCCAGAAAGCTCAGCAGTCCCCGAACGTTACTGCAGGCCTCTACTATAGTCTTCGGGCTTCCCATTAGAGAAGTCCTTTGTCTTGCAACGCCCCTGCACTCCAGCAGCACATGGGCGCTCGTCTCCTCGTCCTCCAGGCAGGCTCTGCACAGAGGGCTGTCAGAAATACCTATATTACAAAGGTGTTTGTTGAAATAGCCGTGACCCGTGAGTTTACCCACGATTTGTTTTAAGGCTTGTCTAGGAAGTCTGATTAACTTACGTGTTAGCTGCAGGTTTACCTTGGGAACGGCTTCCCTAGCATGCCTGCAGTCCGTGAGTTCTGTCCAGTATTCGTTATGTTGTCGTTGACAGCGCTCCCTTATCCATGTTCGCAGCTGTCGATAGGGTATGGGTACAATAGGCTCCGGACCAATGGCCGTCCTGCTAGAACCTTCCCTGGCTAAGCAGTCCGCCGCATCGTTACCCCTTGAGCCGCTGTGTCCTTTAATCCACTGCAAAGTCAATCTATTGTCGTTAGCAATATTAGTCAACTTACAGTGGCATTCATAAATTAAGCCTGATTTCATTATATTGTTGTCCAGTGCCTGTAGGACAGAAGCGCTGTCAGAGAGATTACGAATGTGTTTCCCTCTTACCTTGCGACAATCTATCGCTTCAGCGGCCTTGATGATGCCCACACACTCTGCCTGGAAGACCGTGTTATAGGCTCCCAATGCTGTTGAGATGTGTATATTTAGGTCTTCGGAGAAGACACCCGAACCTGTACCGTAGTTGGTTTTTGAGCCGTCTGTGTAGACCCTCAACTCCTTTTGCAGACAACGGTCCGGAGTGTCTTCATAAAGTTGAATTTTGTATTTTTTGTCGAATACGTACGTCTTGGGAATAAGGTCGTTTACTGCAGCAAAGTACGGAAAGTACCTGTATATGTCTGCTAAAATAACGACTGATAAGGACAGCCTGCCGTCCAATCCGCATGACACATTGCAAGCGAGAGTGACTGTAGGAGCGCTAGCTTATGAAAGGAAAAGCTGTTACCTATTCGTAAAATATTATATGCGAATAACATTTATTACTTTTCACATGCCGTTTCAATTTTAAACTAAAATACATGAAGCATAAGTCAAACTGGCACGTGTCGCACCCGGAGCGCAGTTTCCGAACGCAGCCCCTTGCACTGAACTCTGTCTGTGCTGCAAAGTGAACTTATTCATCCATAATAATCTGTGATTGTGACCTTTGTGCTATGCCACGTAATGGCCTCGTGCGCATTACTTTTGCTACTTTGCGGTGACTTATTGGTGGGAGCTTTAATTTATAACATCAAGATCTTAACAGGAAAAAGAAATAAACCCAAACCGCTAAAATGGACAAGCAACAAAAGATGCATCAGGCTCGATTTCTCCGTCGCTCATGCCTTGCTGGGACACTGGCCTTCCCTATGGATGAAATAGATTGGGCTCTCCTGACTCATCACGCAGGCACGGATTGGTTGGTGCTGACAACTGCAGATGTAGCCGGGACCAATGGCTTAACGTGCTTTCCGAAACACGGAGGAGCTCGAGGTAACAAGTTTTTGGTATCTGGAGTCATTCGGTGTAGAGCTGAAGTGTAGACTACAGTTTGTGTTCTCAGGCTTGTATTATACGCATGACATTCATCTATGATTCTTCTTATACCTGCATGCAAAGTCTCAGCCCGATAGGTTTAAAATTGACAAAGTTTCATTCCCTATTTTATCCCCTAGGGGGTAGAATTGATCAAAATCCTTTCTTAGCGGATGCCTACGTCATAACATCTACCTGCATGCCAAATTTCAGCCCGATCCATCCAGTGGTTTGGGCTGTGCGTTGCTAGATCACTATGTCAGTCAGTCACCTTTGAGTTTTATATATATAGATATACGTAACCCTTTGCATGCGAGTCTAACATAAATTTTACTTACAGCCATGCTCAGAAACGTCTTAATTTAACGGTTGATTCACATTATTCACAAAACTAGTGGGATAAATATTGCCATTAGTTCGGTCAACAGAACTAGTGGGAGTAAAGGATTTTTCCTTGCTGGGAAGACACTTCGCGACCTACTTGGAGGGTCTCCAAGAGCCGCATTCCTCCAGGGAAACAAATCTGGAGACATTCCTCTAACTTTCAAATTGAAAGATGAATGTATCTGTCTGTATTGATTTAATGTGACCGCTTGCCAATACATTGAATGAGATAGATACAACATAATATGTTTAGTTTTTAGGGTTCCCTACCCAAATTGTAAAAAATGGAGTGTCAGTAATCTATCACTCTGTCGTCTGTCTGCCTGTCCGTATGTCATGGGTCCCTATCGTTAACAGATTGAGTTACAGAACTGATATTTGCTAGCGGATTATTTAGTTGAAAATTCATTTTTAGTGTTCCGTGCCTCAAAAGCAAAAAACGGAACGCTAATAGGATCACTTAATTTGTTGTCCGTCCGTCCGTCTGTCAAGACCGTTTTTCTCAGGAACGCGTATAAGTATCAAACTGAAATTCATATCTAATACTCAGGTCTACTGTCCCTTGGAGCTGTGAAAAAATTAAACTTCTAAGCCAAAGCAATCAAAAGCTACAGCCGTTTATGCCGCAAATTTGCGCAAATTTTCGAAACTCGCATGGGTACTTCCCGTGTACTTAGCACCTTGAAATTTGGTACGAAGTAACGTCTTACAGTTCAGATAAGAGAAAAATTGCGAAAACCGTAAATTTTTAGTTAAATCATATATTTTTAAATATTTTTAAAAATTTCAAAGTTGCTGCCTCT